TAGTTTTGCATCTGACATACTTCTCAACATAATTTAGGGGATGATTGTGGAGCCCAGGGGGCCTCCAGACTTTGGATGGGATCCTTGTTTCGAGCCGGACGGATATGACAAAACGTAAACAACTATTTGTATTCTACCACAAGAGGGAGCCAGAGGATAACGTGCTGTTGGAGTGGATCTAGAAAATACCAAATCAGAACCCCCGTCTTATTAGGAATGAAGTGCCTTCGTCAGTGTTTTAAAAATGCTCACTTTACTCGTTGCTCTAACTTTTTCTTTTCTCTCTTATCTGTAGCTACGCCGAACTCCCCAAAGAGGTAAAGAATTCAATGTCTCACCGCTACCTGGCACTTGCGGCCATGTCCGAGCACTTTGAGAAAATCAACCGTACCTCACAATAGAGCCAAGAAGAAGGAGGATGATTAAAAGTTCTTTGGTTTCAAAAAAGTGCACCAACCTGGGTTGAAATTATATGGTTCCCCTTGTAATTAGTGTTGTGAAGCCTACCGCTGAACAGGGCTTGGGTTATATCTGTTTCTCTCTTAATTTTAATAAACTTTTATTTTCAAAGGTTCTATTTTGTGAGTTCATCTTTGACACAAATTGTTTTGGGATATGTTTTATTTATAACAACCATAATCAAAATAACTGTAAGGTAACTTAAAAAAAAAAAAAAGGCAGCGATCACTTCCTCCAGTTTTGCTCTCCTGTGCCAAAGTTGAATCTCCAAGTCGCCTGTTTGCGTTCTAGTTTCCTGGGATTGACGAAGATAGACTCAGAGAAGACCATAATTCATAAAATGAAAAGCTCCAGGGTCCTAATGAGAGCAGCAGATCTCTCTGTTTCTAAGGCTGGGCCCATGGATTTTGGCACAAGAATCAGAAAGTTGTTCAGGATGGACTCCAAAAAAGATGGAGCGATGGGAGGTTGGGAGGAGACGAACCCTGAAGGGGAGAGTGGGATGTTCAGTGGACATAGCACAGTGATACCAGAAGAGATTTGGTAAAAAATGCCTGTGGTCTCTGAACAGGAACTATGCATTCACCTGTGACTGATGCCTATTAGAAGCACTGAGGATGTGAGTCAGGCTCTTAAACATGTTTTCTTTTAGATCAGTTGGAACTTCTTTCAGCTGAATGTCTGGAAAACTTACATTGGTACACTTCTGGTACAATATATTTAAACACGCTTATCACATAAAGGAGTGTTTTTAGTGAACTTTGGTTAGATTTGATTTTTAGTGACTTATTTAAGCTGCTGTTTTTTCCAGATGAAATGATAATCCAGTTAACAACTTAAACATATTTTTAAAAACAATTCGGTGGACAAATTTGAATTTATGCAGAGTTTTGTCTAGTTTAAAAGGTGTCAAAGTTACACACACACTCACTAATCTTTAATCAAATGTCCTTTACCATGTTGTGCTTTTCAGACATTTTTCTGAAGCCATCAACAAACTTCTGAAATAACTTGCTGGATATACCGTCCTTTTGTTCCATATGTGGTGATATTTTTTATTGTGACTAAATTAGATAAAAAACACAAATTCACACTTACACATTTAATTCTAGTTTTAATTTAATGAATGTTGTATTTTTTTTCAATCCTAAATAACAGTAGCCCCTGAACCTTAATAGGATGTTAAAATAACTTTTTTCTTCTTGCTCATGTTATGTCAGCATATAAACTCAATCAATCACTTACCCAAAGATCAAAACAACCAAGACATTTTGAACAATTTCATGCTCCCAACTTTGTTGGAACAGCTTCAGGATGGGCCCTTCCTGTTCCAACATGACTGCTCAACACCGCACGACGTAAGGTTAAAAATATGAAGTCCTGACATCGACCCAAGAGAAGCACCTTTGGGATAAATATGAAGCAAGGACTGTGAGTCAGGCCTTATAAATTAAGAAATTGTCAATAAAAATACTCTCATAAGCATCACCATAAAACCTTGTGGAAAGCCTCTTCAGAAGAGTGGAAGTTATTAGTTACAAAAGACGGGCCAAAAAACTAAAAAACATCAAACTTCTCTAATTTGTCTGCAGAATCTTTAGGAAGCAAATGGTCAGTTTGTTTATGCTTCAGGTTCGCTCTGGGTTAATATGCAACAAGCATATGTAAGATATGAACTATCCTACTGTAAAACGGAGCATTTTAGTGAAGAAACGTCTTGACAAACTGCTATGTTTCAGCAAAAACTCATGCATTTTGCTTGACTAATGAAAACCACTTTGTTTTACAGCAAGTATCGGATATGCTGGAGCAAAGCGTGTTTAGCATTCATGCTCGCATCCTTTCGGCATGGATATGCTGGGCAACATTCTCTGTAGCTAAACCATCATGAAAGCATTTAAAAATGATTGCCGTGATTACGAGTAGGGAAACTTGATGATGTTTTCAAGCTCCGGAAAAGCCTCAGCCTGATGGAGTCTGGAAAACCGTCTCCAGACATGATGCATTGGATGCATTTTCCCGAAATCTCTTCATCAGGCCTGGAAAACAGGACATTATCAACTTTATGACAAACAGAACCAGTCAAAGTACTATCATCCAAAGTGATCTGAAGGAGACTTTGCTGTTGCAATGTTGTGTTTGCTGAAGGAATGCGTTGCTCCAGGAGAAAAGGATGCCTGACTTTATGAGCTTTTAATCCATTAGGATTAAGCCAGAGGAAGAGGAGAGTTTGATGTGGCTTTGGGGAGACAAGCTGCACTTCCTTTTAACTGGCATGCAAGACTTACCTGCTGTCTCCCGCTGTGGCGAGTTTTATTAAAACAGTAAACACCTGCTGAAACTTGACTTTTTTGGTTGTTTTTCTTCTTTCTAACGATTGAACCGTGTCCTTAAAACAGCTCAAATTATGTCACGCGTGACTTCAAATCTGAAAAGACTTTAAGTGACGTCCATTTTCCGTCCCATAAATTTTGCGTTTCAACAAACTCTCTCGTGAATGAAGTCTCTCCAAGACACTTAAGAGGCTCAGAAGGATGAATTATTCCACCATGAACCCGCTGCTGTGAATGATGGAAACACATGACCTAATACATATTCCTGCTGAGAGTCGTCCCCAGGCTGCTCTCTCTTTATGACCAAATCCAGAGTGCTGAAACACTCAGTTTCGTGGTTTAGTACTTACAGTTTACCTTTTCTCCCTCCTGGATCTGTGTGATTATATTTCCCCTTAACTATTATGAACTTTACCATTGAGACAGTTTGTATTACCACTGTACTCTTAGAAATATGGTGATTTAAACTGTGGAGTCCAAGCTGGCAGTCACTAACTGGACTAATAATATAGTCTGCGATGGAAGGTTATGGTTTAAGTGCACTTCTAAAGAGTCGCTCTGGGCCAGAATGTGGTTCTGCTGCAACCAGGTTGACACACAGTCACGCATCGACCTGGCATTTCTGTAGTGCACACACAAAACCCACACTGCTTCAAGTAAGCAACAAAGATTGTGCTGAATAAATTAATGATTAAGAACTATTATACACAGTCTGAATAGAAAAAAGGTCTGGGCTCTGACTGATTTCCAAGACTTTCCATTCCTTCTGTTAAGTCTCAACCAGTCCTCGGTGGATTTCCTGGCAGGTTTCGGGTCGTCGTCGTGCTGCATTCTGCTTCAGCTTTAACTTAATCTTTTGTTTTTAGTTTTTTAACAGCTGGTCTCATATTTTCCCCAAGCACTCTCTGATACATGATAGAATTCATAATGAATCTGGGCGTGCTGTGCTGGTGTAGGGGTTTAGCGCGACCCATGTTTGGAGGCCTTAGTTCTCGACGCGGCTTCGATTTGCTGGCACTTGGCGACATCTTCCCCTCTCTCCTTTCCCTCTTTCCTGTCAGCTTACTTTCAAATTAGGGTCACTAGAGCCCACAAAAAACATTGGGAAAAAAAAAAAATATATATATATATCTATATAGATATATATGTAAAAAAAAAAGGAATTCATAATTGTTCTATGGTGATGATCAGACCGGGTCCTACCGCAGCCAAGCATAAATATATCTATTTCTTTCATTCAAACTAGCGTTTAACATAACAATCTTAAAACAGTTTGGTTTTGTAGTTACTTTTTTCAAGCCTTTGGTTATACCTGCAGATTCTGATGCGGCAGAATTCAAAAGGCATAAGCCAAGATTTAATCCCACAAATACATCCATAGCTGCCTCTATGGCTGCATACTTCGCATTTGTTTTGTCAAAAGAAGCTCCTCCACCTCATTCTCAAGTCTTATGTAGACTTAAACAAGTGTCTTACAGGATCGCTCATGTTTTAGCTCCATCTTCCCATCAACTCTGAGCTTCCCCGTCTTTGCTGAAGAAAAACATTGTGCTAGCGTGACGCCTCGTTCAGTGTGGGGGTTAGAGGGTGATATGGGTGGATTTCAGTGTTCTTCCACTTTTTATGTTTTTAGATATTTTGAAGGATTCTTCGTGAGATGTCCAAAATTTGCCACAACGTTCTCCTTTAACTGCCTGACGTTGCTTGATCTTCATGATGTTGCTTGTTCTCAAGCAAACCTCTCAGGCCCTCACGGAAGAACTGGAGTTATTCTGGTAAGGATGATTTTACATTTGCTCCTTCTGAAGTCAATTAGTGGCACTAGGTTCTGTTTATGGGGATCAAAATAGACATGAAAATGAACACATAATTTCCCTTTCACTCAACAGTTATGCTCTAACGCGAGGTGGTGTGTTGCATAAGACTTGAGGAAACAAACAGAAGTTTGTGGTGTACAAAATCTCAACAAACTGATGCTTTTGCAGCTGTAGCTGGCATGCTACAGTCAGACAAACTTAAGAATCGTATTCTTTTTAATTATGAACTTCTGTCATGCTCATTCAGATTCATAAAATAGGTCAAATTATCCAAGCATGTCGTTTTTAGTACTAAATAGGACGGATATTAAAGGGGACGTTTGCGTGCCAGCCATTCACGGGTCAGAGTTACTTGAAACATCATTTTTAACAAAGTTATGACCAGATGACAAGAAGTTTGATTCTAATTTAATTTGCCTGCCAGAAACAAAGGAGACCGTATTTCACCTATGATCTCTAGCTCTTAAAATCATGTCTGTTCTATAACGTGTGTGAGAGAAAAGCAACAAATAGTCTGGTGGTGCTAGAAGTGGAAGTTCTAGCCGAACAGTCCAGGGTCGTGCAAAGTCAGAGACAGTAAAGTGCGCCGGAAGTCGTCCACGGTCCACGGGTCTCTGTGTGTCTGAGCTGTGGAGGCGCTGCTGCTTTCGGGGGTGATGCTCTGCGGGTCGTTGAAGGTTATCAGGATGTCTGTGGAGAACTGCGGCAGGCGGAGCAGACCCAAGTGAATGCCCACCGTGTTCCTGGCCTCTTCGTTGAACTTGGACACACACTGCGTCCCCTTCAGCGTCCAGGCGCTGCTGCACTCCAACAGGGACACGTCGTCCTTGGGCAGGGCCACGACATTACTCACTTCGAAGGCTCCCGGCTCCCGAGCGCTGTTGCTGCTCGCGATGTCCTCAAAGTGGTACCTGGCTGCGTCCTGGTCGGCCACCTGGCCCTGGTACTCCAGCAGCTCCACGATCAAGCTCTGGTCGGTGTGGGGGTGGGCGAACACCTCCTGGTTGTCGGGGATCTCCCTGAGCTCGCTCATGTCGGTGACGTTGTCGGGGACAACCGCCGACAGAGCTCCGCCAAACAGAGGGCGAAGTTGAGGGGAGCTCGCTCCTGCTGCGGTCTGCATCTCACTGTCAGGGCTAAAAACAGCTGCCGAGGAAGAGAAACATCAGCTAACACGTAGAGTATTACGCAATGACCGCAGGCACACAAACACTACGTGTTTAAAGGATTAAAAACCGAAATACACACTGACTTACATGCGGCGTCGTCATGCAAAACATCCACATGCACTCTGGTTCAAACTTTGCTCTGCTTCGTGTTTCGGTTTCTATGTGGTACAACGGGCGTTCTGCTGCCCCCTAACGGCGAGGAGGACGCGGAGCGCTAAATGTGCTGAGAAAAAAAATCTAACAGTAGACAGATTGAAACTAAGAAGTATGACAGGAAAGCGACATAAAACCACAAGTACTTATTTGGGCCTAAGTTTGAAACTGTATTCATATGTCTTATTTTTTGTTCTACACAATTTCCCACAAATTCCAACGTCAGATAAAATAAAATAAAATGTGTCAACACTTTTTTTTCTTAAAAAGTTTTGTGTTTTTCATCATTTTAAAACCTAAAAGTAAAATAAAAGGGGGGTAACATGGCAATATATTTCTTAATTTCTTATAGTAGATATTTATCAGAAATTATATCAGACCTGCAGCTTTTGAGGAAGATGACCAGAAAATTGATTTATACTCGATCGATTCTGTTTATTTTACTCCACTCAGTCTCCACCAAACAATAAATCATCAAGACATTAGTCGGTGGAACCGAAAACACATAAAAGCAGGAGAAATAATATTGAAATAATCTTGTTACCCTCAAGAATCTGTGGCGATCTCTCCTCGTCCAGCTGTTTGCGACTTCCGGCCAGCCTGTGGTCAGCTGATTCAGACCGAGGAAAGAGACCGGAGGTTCGTCTCCGACATCCACAATGATCACGGCGTCTCATCGTCCAGAACAGCCTGTAAAATGAATCAGAGCGATCTATAAGGCCTCGAAAAGTGCGAAATCTCTGGACTGGCGACAGGAGCTGTGCGTGTTGGAGTTTATTCAGCGGATCTCCGGACGAACAGCAGGTAGCTGGTGACGTTGGCATCCTTAGCCTAACCTAGCCTGCTTTAGCATAGCCTAGCTTAGCCTAGCCTAGCAGCGGCCTGTTTTACATGGGTTTATTATATTGTAATGACTCTGTGGGGTTTTGTAGTTGACTCGTTGTTACGGTAGTTTCTGCTTTAAAAGCCTGTAATAAGTTAGGTGTGTTGCAGAAAACGAGACTCGAGTGTTTGTTTGTTTAGGGTGATGTAAACAAAGCTTAATGAAAAGCTAAAGTTGAAATGGGTGTGATGTGACATAAGTCAGTGTTTCTGGATATGCGCAGGTTGAAAATAATCATGCTGCTGCGCTATCTGCTTTTTACTTCACAAGAAGACACAGCTAGCTATGACAGCTTCGCAATGAACATTTGTGCAGATTGTGCCTTTAAAATAATAGCTTGTGGGCACGAGCAACGAGATAGAAAGCACTTAAAAGAGAAATGGCAATTGATGTTTGAATATAGGGTCACCAGGTCATTTGACCTTTTAAAGAAAACGCTGCTTGGGTTTGACATTAAGAAGCAACAACATACTTTTACCTCTTTAAAAAAAAAAAAAAAAGAAATTATAAAAAAAATTGTGTGGTGAAAATATCTGTGAAAAACAATTAAAAATGTTTCTGTTCATTCAAGGTGGAGGTGCACTCTACATATCAGTCATCAAACCACAAAAGAGTGCATGGATAGAGTATATAGTAGTACATCCGGGTCATCAAGACTTCCTGCTTTCCAATAATGTATTTTTTCACGTGAATGAACTTTTACTGTTCTTAATGCCCTCATTTGATATTGGGGAGCGATGACCTCAGTCTCAGAAAGATTGTGAAAACATCCAGTTGAATGAAAAGGGAGTTATGATGAAGAGTATTGTTTATTGTCATCGCAATATTCAGTAGTAATATCAGAAAGTGATGTTTTCATGATATTGAGGAGCTCTGTTCTTTCAGATTTTCCTACAAAGATGGAAACATTTTGTAACAATTTATTTATGTTTTTATTGGAAAGTGTATTTCCAATACACTGATTTAACTATTAAAGAAATAAATGCATTATTGTATAAAAGCTAAGAATACATCAAATTGAGCTTTTATTATTTATGTCTTTGTCAATACTGGTGATGCACCTGTATGAACATTTAGGCCAATATCGACATCATGGCTGACATTTGATATTTACCAATATTATTTATATTGTATATGTTTCTGTACTCTTTTGCCACTATGACAAATGACCACACTGCTGACATTACTTCTTTACTTCAGTTAAACATCCCACAGTCCTTTACTGCATCACTGTCACTGTGACATGGCCAAACGTCCACCTGTCTAGAAACAGATACACAAATGTCAACAGGATGGAAATAAACATTGGTCATTAATGCTCATATGTGAGCATTATTAATCAATATTACTCAAAATATTAAATGAGAATGAACTCAAAACAGAAGACAGTGCTTTTCTATTACGACATTTATTTAAAGAAATGATAATGGAGACTAATATTTCCATGCATCTTGCAAGTAAGTGCTTTGTGTTCATGCACACTATGTGAGGAATTTATGAGTTTATTCGTTTTAACTTTAATGCACTTTCGATATCAACGTCTTCACAATTCCATGTGAAAGAGGCTGCCCATGGACACGCACATGCATCCAAACCAAGAGTGTCCAACTCCAGCCCTCAAGAGTCCTGCATGTTTTTCCGTCTTCCTGGTTCAGCAGTGAAGTCGGGCCTGTGCAGAACTTGGCAGCATGCGTCGCAGGGAATTCATCCATTTATTCAGTCGTGTTGAAGCAGCGTGTTGTCTTTTGAGGACTGGAGATGGAAACCCCTCGTCTAAATGTTTCCATAAATACTTATTCAGTTCAACGTCGAGTCAGAAATACTTCATTAATTCTCAAGGGAAATTACATTAATGAAGCTGAATCATAATTCAGGGGAATAGCGCAGCAGCCTGTCAGGATATTTAGAAAATTGATGTTTCCCAATGTTCACAAGTAATCTGTTGCAGATACAAATCTCAGTTTCCATCAGTATATATTTCACGTTCTTTATCTTTCAATTTCCAGATGAAGCTTTCATATTTTAGTCATCATTTTGGGAGATTTTAAGCTTCTGGCCAAGTGACCTCACGTTAACACACACTAATTCGAAAATGAAAAGGCAATGGAAGAGCTGCTTTTTAAAATTATTTTTAAGTAATTTAAGAGAGTTCCATTAAAAAATATATATTTCAAAGTTTCAAATCTGTCCTGATTTGAGAAGCCTGAGCCTCAGCCATTTTGAAGTATCGTAATTTTGTTTAGTTGTGAAACAGAACTTCACTACACTGCTGATTCAAAAGTCTCCTTCAAGTTATGTTGTATTTTATGTATCATACAGAGAAAATAATCTGTCTGCTGCATGAGTGTTAATGACTTCAAATGAAATGTCCACAACTGGGAAATAAAGGTAAAAAAAATAAAAAATTGAAATGAAAAATGTGTAGAAACTCTGCTCTCTCTTTCCATTTAATTAAGACTATTATCTATAAAACCCCTTGTAATTATTACTATTTTACAAGCTTAATTATCAAGCAATCTCTGTGAAAGTTTAGCTAAAAAATATATGTGAATTCTGCAGTGCTTTTCATTGAACTAAATTCAAAGAATTTAGTTGAATTAGTACATTTGTCTCTGTAAATCGTCCCTTTAGCTCGGTCTGCAGTCTCCTGTTTCTCTCTGTGTTTCTTGACTTTCTTCAGATCTGTCCCCTGCTTCTCCTCCCCTCTGCTCTCTTGGCTGGGGAAAGGCTGTTTCTTTTCCAACCGCGACGCCAGAAACGGACGTTAAGAAAGTATCAGACTTAACCGGAATCAATGGTACAAGTCTTACTATCGCAGAGAGAAATGGGGCGGTGTGTGTGTGTGTGTGTGTGTGTGTGTGTGTGTGTGCGTGCGTGCGTGCGTGCGTGCGTGCGTGCGTGCGTGCGTGTGTGTATGTGTGAATGCTTCCCTGCCCCTTGAATGACTGCTTGTTGTTCTTGGGTCACATGTTTTTTAGCTCAGTGTCACAGAGGGATTTTATTGAGATATGTTTGTGTGTGTGTCCCCACCCCCACACACCACTCTTTGGAAGACATAGCACCCAAACTGAGATTCAAGGATGTGTTTTTGGAAGGACAGCGTGTTTTCCAGATGCGCTTCGTAGGATTTTCTTCGGCCCAGTGGCATCCAGAGCTGTGATGACATTTCCTTTTTTAATAACCAGTAGATCTGAGTTAAATCTGTCAGAAAATGTAAAATTAAAGATTATTTTAAAGCTATACAAATTCTGAGAATATCTGCTAAAAGTTAACATATTTTAGTTGATATATTATACTTATGAAATACATAATGTAGTGACTCGTTACTTGAAAGGTTAGGCTGGACGATATGGCTGAAAAATGTATCTAAATATAAGCATTTAATGTCAATCGGTATTGGTAATTATTGATTAGTTTTTTGTTTTTAATATTGGATATACTACCAAACTGGTGCCATGACCTTTCCTGTGAGTTTTTTTAAATTATTATTATTTTTAAGCAGCTATGTGGCACGGTGGCAAAACCTGAAACTGCTGCTGCGCCAGGTACTCAACAGGCTGTTGCTAGGTAACCAAAGAGTGAGTGAGTCAGTTGATGCGACCCACCTTTCTTAGCTGGCCATGAGAGGTTGAACTGCTAAAATCATTCCTATGCCATGTTATCTATTGATGTTGATCTTGATTTATTGTCCAGGCCTAAGGGAAGAGTTTGTTTTTGTTTAATGTGATAATTAATGCATAATATGTTAAAACACCAAGACAAAATAATTTAATACTGAAATATTCCGTCTTAGGATACATTTTATTGGAAAGCTTTTAACTTTTATATAAGCTTTTAGCTTATATAAAAGCAAAACCTCTCAGAGGGGTGTTCAGGAAATCCTGGTTCTACCTATTTTTTATAATCTAATTCATTGAGATGCCTCTTTGAATAATTGACTTCATAAGTCGGTCTTCATATTTCAGGTAGATCAATTGGCAGCGTTGACAGCTAACTCGTTTTCTCTTGTTGGAGAGTGGAAAACATCAAACCGTTCTCTCCCTCTTTCCAAACTCGTGATGATCTCCTCCTGTCCTACAGAGGGAGCCAGAACTGGAGGAGCAGCCCGAAGACAACATGCCCCCCAAGTTTAAGCGACACCTCAACGACGACGAGGTCACGGGATCCGTCCGCAGCGAGAGGGTGAGGTCCAGACGCAGTGGAAAAATAACACGATTTGGGGTTCTGGTTTGTTAGGACGGCTCGAGTAAACAAGGAGTGGCAGAAGCAAACATACACGATGATGGAAGAGGGAGATGGAATAAATAGAAATCACGGTTTGGATTAAACAGCAGACAACCAATAAAAACATTGGCGACACGGCGGAGTCTCCAGAAAGTTTCGCGGCCAAATATCTGCTCCTCATCAGGCTGCTCTTCCTGTCCCACCTCCTCTTCCTCACCCATCCCTTCTTCTTTTGTGGTGTTTTTACCTCGGATCAAAGCCGCGCTTACTGTGGGGGGATGTTTGGGGTGGGACGCTTACGCAACGTCTTCCTCTCCTAGTTTTCTGCTTGTGATAATTATTACCAGTTCTCCTCGCATCTCTGGTACCGGGAGAGAGGTTGTGCAAAAGGAGAGCGTTTTATGGTCACATGCTGCCATCCTTTCAGATTTCTTGCACATGACCTGCAGAGGAAATAAAGAATGTGTAGAATGTACATTGGGTGTCTGATAAGGTATGCTGGTCCCTCCTCGTCTCTCTCCGCTCTTTGTAGCGTTGAAGTGCTCGGAAGATGATGGTAATGGCTGCAGCTTCTATAAATGGAATGCTATTAGTAAAAAAACTCCATCTAAGCAGAGCTGAGTTTTGTTTTTCTTCATCCATCTGCTCCTACGAGTATTTAATGCAGCTTTTTTCTCTCTCTCTCTGAATAGGATTTTACACAAAAACACTGTGCGCCCAGATTAAAGCAATCAGAGGTTTTGTGCCTTAGAAGAGTAATCAACTTTAAGATCTCATAATCGTTGCATTGTTCTTTGTTTAGTTGATGTAGATTGACTTTGACTTCCCAGCATATTGATTGTTTTCGCTCGGAGTTAGATGGGATCGAGCTTTGGCATGCACAGCTGCACAGGCGACATCCAGGCATCGCAGATCGATCTCACTATTGCCGTTGCCTTCAGAGAGCAAAAGGAAAAAGGTTCCTATCGATCGCTTATTTCAGCCGTATTGTACAGAAATGTTTCCATGTCTGCATCAGCAGCATCACCTCTAGGTGATGCACTTTGTCATCCACCTAACAGACGAGATGCTGCGTGCGCGGTAGTGTCCCGAAACAAAATAATCCACATAAACAAGTGTTGATCTACTCAACTCTAAACCAAATTTATTCATGTTAATAAGAAATGAAAAATATGTATTGAAATAGTGCTTTGGAGGTGAAAAATGCTATTTTTTTATTAGTGTTCTCATCTCCAAGGATTCCTCATCTTGATCTTAAATTTTTCTGAGCGGCAAAAATTTTCTTTCTCTGACAGAGGAATCTGCTGGAGGAAGACTCTGATGAAGAAGAAGACTTTTTTCTGTGAGTTTGTGTCGAAATATATGTATATTTTGTTTGTTTGTTGTTTTCTCTTTTTTTTGTAACCACCAACTAGTTTCTGGCATGACATTAACTGGGTATTTGTTTAGTTTTCACAAAAAATTGTCGAACTCATTTAAACTGTTTGCTTTTCCGTGAAGAGTTCCACTTTTGAGCATGTAGCCTGTGAATGTTCAATAGAGTCGAGTTCAGAGACTTTTTAAGATATGAATTGTTATCCTGTTTTATCTTTTCCAAAGCCAGTTTAGAATAATTGTCCAGTTGGACCTCACAGATAAGTGTCCAACTTTCACTCAGGCAATCCAAACTGGGACAAAAAAAAAAAAGTTAAAAAAGAAGAGAAGTGTGTGTTCCACCAGGACAGCAGGGGGACGATTCAGTTCTGGGATGCACCCGACCCACAGAAACCCACTGAAAATTAGTGGTTTATCTCATTTTAGTTTGGAATTTTAACCAAATATTAGCAGGGGTGCATTTATATGTTTGACCATGTGCGGATCGGAGGAAATCCACAATAGCTAAATTCTTGTGCGCCGCAGTTCTTAATATTAGAATGCAGTTTAGATTTCCTGAGTGACCAAATCAAACATTACTTGGTAACTTTTAATGTCCTTGACATTGTATTTAATTTTTTTCCCCAGGAGAGGTCCAACCGGACCCAGATTTGGACCTCAGAATGACAAAGTTAAGCAGTAAGTACAGATTCCTCATCGCAGCAAGAAACAGGATATGCATGTGTTTTTGAAATCCTTGAAAACGATCAGATTTCAATTAGATGCTGGTTGGTTTCTATACAAAGTCCTTGAAAGTGCTTGGTGATACTTGTGGTTAACGGCTGAAAACAAATACTGTAGATGAAGGATAATAAAAGGACACATACATTTTTCTTTCTCAGTGTCTGAAGTTAAATCACACCAAACATCTCTTGTTTTAGGCCAGTTGGAATTGCCTGAATTATTTCTATTTGAAAAATGTCCAAAAATGTTGCAAGATTTTTTTTTAGAGATTGTGGAATATTATCACAAGATATTATTAATGACAGGAATAAATGAAGCCATGCAACAGCGAATTGAAACGAGCATATTTTTTATTTTTTTTACTTAATTTGTATTGTTTTTAATCTCCAGACGCTGGTGGTGCTGGGAAAGTTTGAAAAGCTGCCTTGGATTTTACTGTGGGAAAAGTGCACAAACCCTGTAGAACCCCGGGGTCGGTGCAGCGGCTCCACACTTTTTGAAGCTGCCGTTACGTAACCGCGGCTCCGACGTGTTTACCAGAAGTGGCCTGTTGTTAGGATATTGTGCAAGAGAATTTATCGCGCAGGCTCCGTTTCGATCTTTACCAGCTCCTCGCAGACAGCCGGAGAACAGACAAGGTCATTGTTGAGACCATCTGGCACGCAAAGCTGTTTTTTCGCGCTCGCTCCATACCTTGCAGTCTGTCACAGTCGTGCCCACGTGAAATTAGACGCCGTCATTACTGAGTGCAGGAATGTCCTGTGGAAGAAGTTCAGGCTTCCAATGCGTCCGCCCGTCTGAACCCGGGCCGTTAAATTCCTCAGGTGTTTGTGACGGCGGCCTGTTTTCTTACGCCACCCCTCCCACACCACCACCATGTAACTCCTGACTAGAGTCTTTTATGTATCTGCTTTTCTATGACATCGCATAAAAAGAAAATTATTTCAGTTCAATTTTAATTTGAATCCTCAAAATGTTAACACAGTAGATCAGGGGAAATCAGAAGCGCTGGCGCTTCTTTTTCAACAAGGCAATAACTCTAGATTTTTGTAACAAATATAAATATTTTGATATATTTTTTGAATTGTCATTCTGTTTGTGCCCTGCTTTAATTTGTGTCCCCAGCGTGCAGTCTCAGGTAGACGAGGTGATCGACGTGATGCAGGAGAACATCTCCAAAGTGATAGAGAGGGGCGAACGCCTCGATGACCTGCAGGACAAGTCCGGTGAGTCACACCTTCTGTCACACCCTCTTTGGTTCTTGCGCGGGACGTGTGTGCTTTTCATCCCCTTGGATCAGCTCCACAGAGAGTCTATCAGTGTTGTTTTTACTAACATTTACTTTGCGATCAGCGCTCTTGGGCCCCGGGGGCGTACAGCGTCATCAAGGAAACGCTCAATGTGCTTCCAATTTAAGAGAAAAACGCAATTAATGTCATTAGGGTTATTCGTTCGAAAGAAAAGAAAAGATTTGAAGTTACAACTACTGCAAAAGATGGTGCATTTTAGAGCGTTATCTGCCTGATTTAGGATTCGTCATGCTGGGTCGAGTCCTGTTTTGTCCTTGGGTTCACCTTGACTTCTCTGTGCAGAATGAACAAAACAATGCCTCGGACATGGAGAGTTAAATCGCTAAAATTAGACAGTACGCTGTCCACATCTAAACATTATTACCAATCATTGATTAATGTTAAGGTTTAGATCTAACGACTCATGAGGCTATTTGTCTGTGTGCGAATTCTCCAGTGACTGCAGCGGAGCAGACTGAATGCTTTAACAAAGGAAGGTATACTTGAAGTCTTTCTTTTCTCCACCATGATTATTACCAATCTACTCTTTGCTTTTTTTTCCCCTTAAGAGCATCCAACCGCATTATCTGGTTTCCGACACTGCGGAGCAACTGGATTGACACTTTTACAAGACATCTGGGCATAAAGAAACTATTTTTGTTCAAAAAACGACTGAGATTCTGTAGAAAGAACAAGGGTTTGATTGGTTGGGGGTAAAATAAATTTTTTTCGGAGGGAGTAGGGGCGCATGTGTTCAGGAAATGTGGGAATATTATGAAGGGATCCTTTCTCTTTCCCATATTGCTTGAAACCTGTGGCCTGCTTAATAATGTGGAACATCCTTGTGAAGTAGTTTTCCTTTAATTGAGCTGGCCAGACAAACTGATCAACCAGCTCTCTGAAATTGATTATAGTGATTCAAAGAGTTCTGACACACAATACCATCTGTAAATTTAATAGCACAACAAAAAGTTTAATCTTGACGACAATTAAATCCAACTTGTGTAATAATTTGGAACACGGTGTAGACTGATTAGAAATTGGCTGAAATACACCAAAAAATATGTTTTTGTAATTTTTTTTTAGCAAGTATTATTGAGTGGGAATCCACTTAAAAAACTGTTTGTACAGAAAGTCTGAACAGATCCATTCAGTCAGAGGCAATTAAAGTCGTCACACGGTAAAGTGTGATGCATTTGTGAGGTGTCTGCACTAGAATCCGGTCCAACAATAACAGAAAACGTTATTTCATGACCTTAATGATAGTTTAATGGTCCCCAGAAACAGATTTTGTTAGAAATCTGTTCCAAATTTCCTAATATCTGCTAAGCATGGGTGTGGAGCTCTTGAGAGAGCTCCACACTCTCTCAAGAGTGTGTCATCAGTGTAGCAGTGGTAAGAAACACAAGAGAAAAGGAGGAAACAGGTCCAACTACTAACCCCTGAGGCACACCGCAGGTCAGGGTTGAAGGGAGAAGTCAGTATCTTCAGTAAAACAAATGTAAACGATGAAGGGGTGAGAGACGATCAAGAGCATCAGAACTAAAATAGATGCGTCTTTTCAGCTTTTTACCTAAATACTCTGCAGCTTTACACATGATATCGAACTTGTAAATGCGTACATGGAGTTTTTAAATGAGCAGCAGAACAGGTGTGTGTTATGAAGTGAATGGGATTTCTTTCAAATAGTTGTTCCTTTGTTCCAAGGAAGAGCCACTTAATCAGATTGTGAAGGAGCCCCTCTAAGTGTGTTCCTGTAGTCAAGAATAGAAAATAATTGATTATATATTACAGCTAGATTAAACAGCAAAACCATTTTCCATGGTTGATTAGAGACACCTTCCCTTGTAGTGAGTCGATGTCTCTGTGTAAACACACACTGTTCACTTTATATTCAGGTTCTGAGTGATTTCCCAGCCGTCCATCTGAAAACTCTTACCAACTCTAGCTGTCTCTGCTGTGTTGTCTTCCCTCCATCACATAACATTTACGCACCAGCCAGGCTCCAATCAAAGCGACCACGGTTGTTTCACCTCACTAATGAAGACACGATGCTGAAATCCACGTGTTTGTTTCCTGTCTCGTGCGTCGTCAACACACACACAGTTGCTTCACAGGCGCTCCGCTCTGTCATGTTGACCTGCCTGCCGAAACGACGACGCACATCTGGAGGACATTCCTTCTCTGCTTGTTTGTGCGGCGCGTTCGTGACTCACGGCCCGGGCGCCTCATCCTTAGCGCGTGAACGACGCGGCGCGCTCCGGCTGACGCCTCGCGGCGCGCAGGCAGGTGACCCGTCGTCAGAAATTCCTCGGGATTAACGAGCGTCTTCCCAGAAAGCCCTGTGTGGGCGCGGCGCTTTGTAGTAGCGACGGGTCGTAAACAGGCACACGGAGATGGAAGCAGCAGACGCAAAAAGCAAAGAGAGCGAGCGGGAGGTTGAGCCATAACCCTCCTGTTACCATTCAGAGACACCACGTTAACAACAATATCGCAAAAACAGACCGCAGCGCGTGGGCGAGCTGGCGGCGGGGAGATGTTACGACGAGGAAGCCGGAGGAAATGTTGCTATTTTGGAAGTGTATGACCCCGTGCCAATAGAGTTGTCTTTAAAAGATGTCACATCTGCTCAGAGCAGTAAAGCCGGTGTATTTAATGCCTTAAGTGAAACATGTTTGGTTTTTTTCCGTGACTGACTTGTCCTTTTTGTTCTGTTGTCTCTCATTGTGTGCTGCCTGGCTCTGCGTGGTGCAGAGAGCTTGTCGGACCATGCGTCTGCGTTCAGCAGCCGAGCCAAACAGCTGCACAGGAGGATGTGGTGGAGAGACATGAAGGTGGGGTATCTGTCTGTTTTCAGACCGTCTGCAAATACAGACATTTAAAAATGTCCCTGATTTTAACCCAAGTCATGTAAGACACCCAGTAAGCATGTGGAAGAATGTGCTCCAGCCTCATCATAAAGGAACTTTCTCTGGACTGCAAGCACCAATTGCAGTTTTCTGGCCGATCGCTGATCTTTAAAAAAACCCGACTTGCTGATACCGGTGTGTGTGTGTGTGTGTTAAATAAAGCCAGAAAGGAAGGAGGAAATTGGATTGCACCTCCTTTTAGAACTCTTTGTGTGGTGAAAAACTAACACTGAACTCACCATGGGGAGAATCTGTTGCAAGTCTTATATCCTGATGTTCACAGATGCTCTCGATCCGATTTCACTCAGCTGTATCGCAAAGACAGGAAAACATTTTGAGTCTCTAAAAATATTGAATAAAAGGTCAAAAATGTTTGTGAAATAAAGTGAACAAACCATGTATCACATTCCAGTTATTATACAACAATCTGCGTTGGCTTTAATAATCTGAAGACTTCTGCGCGGCTCTACGTCTGTGTTGGCTTTTGTCCACGCTTTGTTTTGAGACAAATGGTTTTGTGTCCCCAACAGATGAAGATGATTATTGCCCTGGTAGTTGTCGCTCTTCTGCTGATCATCATCAGTGAGTATTTGAATGTCTCATCAACTTAAGCAGAGTTGAGATCCACAAACATGAAGTTATCGCCTTCAATGCTACGCCTCTCTCCTGTTTTCCAGTTCCACTAATCCTTCGATATCGTAAGTGACCGATGAGGATGAGGCGGAACGTTCCTCCTCGTTCCCGCCTCCCCGGGCCGACCTGCATCTTCTCATCTGGGACTCACCGGGACGCTGCCCAAACCATCTTCAGCGTTCTCCTCTTCACCCTCAGTTCAGATCTTGCAATGATATCCTGATCCGAGATCAGTTCTGCTTGATGAAGTTAAGGGAAAGCAAAAACATTGACTTATGTTTTGGCCCTGTTGTCCGTGTAAAGGGAGCGCTTCGTGCCACGACACACATCGCAGGCAGTGGGGGTTTTTTGGGCCTTTGTCCTTCGTGTTGCATCTCAGATAAATTCTCCAGGACAGAGGGAATCCGACAGTCTGCATTCGTGTATCTCCTGTGAATCTGCTGCAGCAGCCTCGCATGAAGAGGCTGTAAACTCCGAGCAGATGAACCTCTGATGTCTTCCCTCATGTGCGCCTCAAACACCAACAGGAGAGACGGTTTTAAAGGGGACACTGAAATAGTTTAAAGCACATTTTTAAAATTCTCTCCCGCACGAAGTGAGAAGACATCTGAGTCTCATCTCAGGTTTGTTTTTTTTTTTCTTTCTTTTTAATGTGAAGAAAAGAACAATGGGAAACCAAAACAGCCACATTCTGAATGTCTGTTCACCGTTTTGTGCTCTAAGCCTCTTACTTCCTGCAGGACTGTGCAGATCCTTTGATCACAGCTGTTCAGGTTTTCAATTTACTCCAACTCTGCAAACGGTTTTGTTCGGTTTAAAGCTGCTTTTTGCTTTCTTTCCCTCTTGAGTTGTTATAATAATGTCTGGTTTCTGAAGTTCTGTATGAGTGCTGGTATTTGCTACTGAAGGGGACGGTTTATCTCTGTACTGTTATGACTGAGATGGAAGGTCTTATGTAATGTGAATGGAAACCATAGGTGTAGTTGGTTAAAGTCTACATGGTAATTTGGTTATTTTTGTGTAATTTATTTTAGCTGTAAATATGGATTCTGTAACGATACTGTACAGTACTCTGTGGCATTGCATTGGAAGACTGTGATTCCTTTTGCTCTGGAATAAAGTGATATTAAAGGGCAACACGTCTGGTTCGTTCTGGTTTGAACTAGAATCAGCAGTAGGAAAAAGTGTATGAAGTTGAAAAAAAAAAAAAAAAGAGAGAAACGAAACAATCGTCATGCCATCCCTAAAGTTTTAAGCCCAGGTTGAGTGTCCAATAGCTTCCAGGACTTTTATCTCCTCATTTATCCGACTGTTGCTGGCTTGTGACTTTACTGGCATCGCGGAGTCCCCAGATGGCACTAAAGTTGCGGGTCTGGAGCCCATGAAGCGTTATTGCTCTGACAGACCCTCGGCCTTTCTTCCTCCCAGTACTGCAGGCACAAACACACACAAACACACACACACATACACATACACATTGCCCTGCACCGAGCCAGAACTGCCCAACTCCACTGCAGGAACAGACATTAAACTGTCCCCAAGGGACAATTTGCTTTCTTGATATATGGCGGCTGGACATGAGGGGTCACATCTGGTACCGATGCACACAACAGGGACGGTGGCTTTGTTTCCGCTCTGAAGTCGAAGCGGTAATTTAATCTGCCACGCATTGTTTGGATGTCGATTAAAGCAGGCATAGGCAAAGCTGCTCAGAACCTATAAATCAGCAACACTCCAGAAAGGTCATGGGTCAAAGAAACTCAAAGTTAGCAGACCTTCTTTCAGGTCTAAGGTTTTATGGACTGGCACATATTAAAGACCTTTTGATCCTCACCAGTTCCTAAAGCTCAGTACGTTACATGAGTGCTGAAATTGTAACTGACTTCTTGATTCCAGAACTCGACGGGTTTTGTTTGGGCGTACAATGCAGGCCGTGTTTATGGAAAGTCGTGGTAAAGATGTGTTAAAAGCTTTAAATCAATCTCAACTCATTTGACGGGGTGTTGCATGCAAAGGCATCTCCCAGTCTGTCACGGTTAAAGAGGCATTATAACATAAAGTCGACTTTTTTGAGCTTTGCATCGCATTGTAGAGTTGTTCCCTAATCAAAATATCTCATACCTGTTACGTAAAATCTTTGAATCTCCTTTGGCAACCATTCAAGGTTTGTAAAATGCTTGGGGGAACCATCAGGTATTCTGACTCCCCACACTCTGCTCCTCCAGACTAGCCAGCAGCAATTAGCCAACACCCGGTGGAGCTGCGCATCTGCTGAGCTCACTGTATGAGCCACTTCTGCGGCCAGTTCTCCCATTAATGCTCGTAAAGCCTTGATAGAGGATCGTTGTCGAGATGACTTCCAGAGTTCTGGAAAAGAGCAGGAACTTCTTAAAGAGACAGCGGCCCAATATGAAGGCATTAAATTGCTAAATCAAATTTCTTTTTAAGTCCTGTTGGATATATACAGCACTCTTGTAACAATGAAGGTGGCATAATTACTTCATTGTCCCTCAGGAGAACCTCTAAAAACCACAGGCCAGGACCTGAGCTTAGAAACGTCTTGCTGAATTCCTTGGACGGGGTGTTGCATGTCTTCATTTGCATATCTTCATTTGCATGTCTTCTTGTCAACTCTTGGAAAGACTGTGAATTTTGTTTGTTTGTTGACAATCATATAAAGTCCAAACTGATGGGTAGCATCAATCACAGATGTAATTTTTCTTGCCACCTTTGAAGTGAACGCTCATAAACTCCACCAGCCATCGACCACCAGCATATACTTTACTGACTCGGTGCATTTTACGAGCCACACATGCCTGCTCCCTACCCTCCAAATTCCTTTGGAAACAGTGAGTTCTTACTTACTTTTTCCTTTCCCTTTTTATAGATTTTTTTTTGTGCTTAGTTCTTTTTATTAAATGAAAACAACGTGTAAGATGCAGCATGATATTGGTCATTTGAGGCGCCTCGTTTTGAGAAGCAGCGAGGGTCGGATTCCATGCTTTCCATAACATGGAATAGAAATAATAGCGGCAACGCTTCCCTTTCACCGTGAGCGCCGCGTTTGTTATTGAAAGAGCTTGCCTTGGGTCAGCACCTGTGTAGTTTAGACAGATGTTAGTGCAGCGCATAAATGAGACGGTCTTTTTCCTGTCTGCCGACACAAACACACCCGCGCTGGCAGCAGAGGATGTTTTGATCCTCCGGCTGGGTGACCTCAGATTCCGGGCATAGTGATGGTTATACGAGTCACATAAAAGTGAGTCGATTAAACGGGAGAGGAGAGTGGACAATGTGCCAACCGGCGTTCGAGAGCCTGGCCAGACGCTTTGACACTGATGAATAAGGCCCTGGTCTATTACATGTCACAGTTCAGGTTACAGAAAGGTTGCGATGAAAATATAAACATGCTTATTCTCACTATGGTACCACAAAGCAGGGACAGTAGCAGGGTTGGCAGGACTTGTATTTTAGAAAATGAGTAGAGCTTTGCACTGGAAAACAGCAATAAAAGGTTTCAGAGGCCAACACCTTACTTGATGACAGTGATTAGCTGCGAGCTTGAGATGGGCCTGGACCGGGCCTGGACCGGGCCGGGTGTGTACTCTCTTATCGCCGCTCCAATCCATATCCATAGTTTAGGTCAATGCTATTTTCGGAATCTTTAAACCATTGTCACATTTGGATCGGTCAGAAACAAACCGTGTGTCCATGAACGCATCCATTAATGTGTTGATGGACACATTAATGGATGTTGGAGGGTGTGTGCCACTAATAATCTTCCCGTATGAAACAAGCATTCAGAACAAGACATGTTTGAGTGTCTGCATGATAGAAAAATAAGCCCTTTAAAAAAATAAATGGCATAAGTTTCTATTAAATTGCTATATTGTTTCAAAGTTTAAAAAAATGCTAGATATTGTTGGACTGTTCACTCTGACTTAAAAAGCCTTTATCAAAGTTTTTTCTTTTCAGTTGTTCAATACAGGAAGACGGCTGGTTTTGCCTCCAACTTATATGTACTGTGTAAGTAATTATCAGCTTCTCTTTGAATACTCCCAATCTGACAGTCTCTTGAAGGTTCACAGAGTTAGGTTCACATTAACGTTTGCCAATTTGAGGTATTTTGAGACAGCAGTCGTCCGTTTTGGTTCTGGTTCCTCTCTGGGCTGGCAGCGTCATCCTCTGTGAACAATGTGGATTTCTGCTTATCGTGGTCACCAGGAGAGCCATATACTGGATGGGAGATATTAACTGCTTATAACCGCTTTACCAAACCTCCCTGTGAAATTTTAGGACAGTTTCTGTGAAGTCTCTCAGACATGTAAGAAAGTACATCTAAAGTTAAACTGCTGCAATATTATTTTTCATCTTTCTCTCTTCTTTTAGGTACTGAAGTTTCACCAGTTCGGCGTCACCCATCCAAAACAACAAAAAAAGGGACAATATATTCTAAAAATATATATATTCATAATGGTGTGTAGACAAATGAATCCACAGTCCAACTCTGTGGGGTCATTTGAGTCGAGTCTTGCTGCTTTTATGCACGAATAGACAATCTGCACGGCAAGTCATGTTGTCATGATGTCAATTGTTATCATAAGGCGTAGTGCCGCATCTGGCATTTACAAAAGCAATTAACTGATCTGGTCCAACCGCATGATGATTTATTGAAGCGAGTTGAGGCCCAGAGAGGGTGGCAGACTTTCTACTGTTTGTGTTTTAACTTGTATTTTCTTTGGAGACGGGGCTCAGTTGCTCTAATTAATTATTGTATCATAACATAGACTTTTGCAACGTTTTCAAACCACTTTCTCCGTCCCGTCGTTTTCCTGAGAACCTTTTTTTTTTCCCTTCCTGTTTTTTTTTTTTTTTTGCTTTAGCTACTTTTGTTCCTATGTCACTACTGCTGACGCTGCCTTTTTCAGCTACCAAACGGAAAGTTTTCATCCCGTTTCGGGAGGTCAGGCCCTTTGCGACCCAGAGACGCTTTGGACATCACGGCCGGTCGGGTCAGCAGAGATTTATGCACATGAAAGACAGTGTGAAGAGCAAGAGACGTCCCGTTCAATTTTGGGTGATCCGGAGAGGAAGTGAATGTGACATAAAACCACTCAACTCATTGAAGTTGTTTTAAAGGTGAGAGAGACACGTTGAAGAGCCTGAAGCACGGACTCCCACTTCACAGCCCCCAAAAGTCTGAGCCCTGAGGGACACTGTGTGCTGGGGGTCAAGCCTCCTATCGGATCACCGATGTCCCCCCACAACCAACCACATGTAAGGAGACACCGGAGGAAACCGTGTCCAACAGGGATCACGTTTCGCCACCATGTTGGACCCAAACCTTACAGGGGCAGTTGAAGGAAGGTCCTGTTGAAAGGTTTTAAGCGTGATAAGCGTCTCGGCGATGCCGACGATTATTTACTGTGCATGTGGAAGTCAGAGGTTAGAGGCAGTGAACTTGACCCCACATCGTTTGCAGTACCTCCAAATTCACGCTTTAAAAAAAAAAACAAATCAGCAGCATTTTTTTCTTTTTTTGATAAATAACCATTTAACCAGCGACTGCATACACCGCTGAGACATTTTACGCTGGAAGCAGTCCAACTCCTGGAACTAGGCATTCAGCCTCTGGGATCAGATGATCTGTTTTTACACCAAATAATGAAGCCAAAGGAATAATTTACTACAACTGTTTGTAAACTTTCAACAAACCCTTTCAAAAAAAAAAAAAAAGTTTTCTTTAAATTCCTGAGAATTTGAACAGGAACAAAAAAAAAATGGACAATTTTTCCAGATAAGATCTTCAAAATCCCAACTAGTACAAAGTGTCAGATTTAACATCCTGAAATCCCAAAACATCCTTTTGCAAATTTAGCGTCATTCAAAAAAAAATCCTGTGTTTTTGCCCTTCTACACCTTTTCCCTTCCCCCTGCACACCCCCCCTTCTCTTCCTTTCACCTCTCCTCTCCTCCCTGTTTTCCAGTTTCCCTCCTTGTGTCCCTTCCAGACTGTATAAATATCTGAGAGCAGATGGGAAGAGCTCAGTGTTGCAGAGCTGCTCATAGAGGAGAGAACAAGACAAGAGGAAGGGGCACAAGACAACCTGATAAGAGAAAAAACTAATTGACTTGGATTAAAAAAAAAAAAAAATCTAGAACAGAAAGTTGGATTGTGGGGAAACAAACAAACAAACCAACAAAAAAGGACTTAAGATATCAGTATAAATTGCTCAGAGATGTTCTTCCTCTCCCTGCTGTGCGTATGTGGTCTCCTGCTGCGAGGTGATGCCCAGGACCGAGCCTCCCTGTGGAGGGGGAACGACCGGAGCGGCCGGTGCCAGTACACCTTCACCGTGCCCAGCCCGGCGGAGGCCACCTGCCCACAGGCTGGAGGTCCAGAGCTGGACGGCCTGAAGGCCAGGCTCGGAGTGCTGGAGGCGCTGGTGGCCCAGCTCGGCGGGAAGGACGTTCAGCTGCGGGGGGGCCAGCAGGGGGCCGCTGCCAGACCGCAGCCCGAGCTCCAGGAGGCTCTGAGCCGAGCGGTGGCAGAGAGGAACCTGCTGCAAGGGGAGAAAGAGAGGCTGCAGAGGGAGCTGGACACGCTGAAGCTCAGGATGGAGGAGATGAGGCGGGAGGCGGAGAGGCTGAGGAGCAGACCCTGCCTGTCTCCTCAGAGCCCAGTGGCAGCTGCCACCGCCACCCAGCAAGACTGGGGCAGAGGCAGACCGCCTGCTGGTAAGAGACAATGCACACACAATCCTCAAGCTGTCTCATCCTGCAGGTCCTGCGGAGGACAGGTGTCAGTTTCATCTGAAGACTCACAGCGGCTGTGCACAGCTAATAAGAAAGAGTTTGCATGGGTCACAAAGTTTATTTCCAAGGAATAAGATGTCAACTTATTCCTTGGAACTAAAAAAATTGGTTTTAGAGTCATACAGCAAAAACAAAAACATAATTATCATTGACAAATGTATAGAAAGACTGGTCAAAATGTGTGTTTTTTTTCACTTATCTATGTGAATTTCATTAATCAGTGCACAACGTGCTATTTGGTGGATATTTAAATTGAATTTATGCTGCTTATACTGAAAGCTTTGTGTAGATTTGAATATATTTTGATTGGAATTTCACATTCATTTCTATTGTAAATGTCACTAGCAATATTAATAATTAAGCAGATATTTTGTCTAAAGCATTGAAACAGCAAAGTTGATCACTTCTGTCTGTTTGCATCAGGCGTTTAAGGGTTAAAACCAAACACGGATGAGCTCCATGTTTCCATGCCACATACATCTGAGTGTGTTTGCGTTTGCATGGTAATGTTTTGGTTTCCCCCCGGCTCGGGTTCCCTCCCCGAATCCCCACCAACCGTCCCGTCTTCCTGCCTCTTCTTTTAGAAACGCTGGAGGGCGGCCATGGAGGATCAGCTTTGTATTTAAGGACAGACCCTGCTGTCTTTATGGCTGGTGTTTCCCCCCTGAACATGGCGGGAAATGCGCGCGAGCGGCCCTAAAAGGAGAGAGCACGAGGAGGACAATGATCCCCTACCCCTCTGTCTCCTCCTCCTCCTCCTCCTTCAGCCTTTACTTTCCAGCGAAGCGTCTCTCTGTTTGCCCGCCTGGAATTCTGCATCGTTGGGTTTTAACGTTGAGATTTCCTGGACCGATAATAAATCTGTCCCTCCCCACTAAACCACCTCGACCCCGTCTGCTTCGGGATGCTTGTGTACCTCCTGCATCCTCTCGGCTATGGGTGCTGCTCCTCATGTTTTCACCCGCAGCCTGAAATACACACGGAGGGCCCCATAAGGGTGACAGGCAGATGCCGGATAGATCATGCTCAGAGCGCGACTTGCAGGACCAGAGCAGATACACAGAGAGAGAAAGAACATAAATCAAGCCACTTTGGCTTGGAGGGAAGAGTGAAACTCTTGACAGGAGGGCTTTTTATCTCTCACAACTTCTACAGTGTTTCTGTGACTGTTTTATCAGTTAAAATATACCAGTCGATGTTCTCTGATTGTTATGTTTTGCATTAAAAATAGGCTTTTAAATACAGTTTAAAAGCTGTATTTAAAAGCTTTTAAACTGTCTTTATGTGAGGCCTGGCCTGTTGTGCTCAGTCGAATTTACAAGCTTGAGGGTCACCGAGGTCCGACGTATTGCGGCGTTTTACCCCTTCGAATCGAGATCGAAAAGCGAGGCGTGATTTGCACCAAACTCCTTTCTAGATCATAGAGGGTCTCTGTGATTTCTGAAAGTGCTGCCAAGGCATAAAATGGTCATTAACGTTGCTGCAACTGCATCGATGCGTGACTTTAAAAAAAATGCGGAGTTTTGACTTGCAAGGCCTCAAAAAAAAAAAAAAAAAAAAAAAAAAGGTGGCAAAACAGAAGAGAGCACCCGGGATGAAAAAAGAAGGGGGGAAAAATGCCTCTTCCCTCTTCCTTTTGTGAAACCAACTCTGTTATCGATGTGCCACGATCCATGGAAAAGTCTTAGAGGTGAAAGGTCAATGGATGGACTTAGAGACGTTCCTGGAAGCAAACATGTTGGACGACAGCAAGAACTTTACCCAAATGATTTGGTTCAGAGCATTTTCATGTGAAAGAACGTCCCAGTCAAAGTCCAAACTTAAATCTGACCGAGAACCTGTGGAGAAGCTTGAAAATAGATGTTTGCATCAGCTCTTTGTCTAACCTGACTGGGCTGGAGCTGTTTGCAAGACTAAACAGGATGATTTAGACCTGTAGATGTGCAGAGACATAAACTTACAGCTGACTTCTGTACTCATTTTATAAAAATGCCACCCGGATAAGAGCCCACTATCAAATGAAAGCTAAACCTTCCAGACTTTCCCCAAAAATTAGGACTACAATACTTAAATCCACTTCACAGTTACAGACTATTACGTAAAATCCCCAAACCATGAACGCTTCCCGAAGCTCAGTCGTACAGCAAGGAAACGAGTTTATGAGACTTTTTTTTTTGGCACCGGTTTTGTTTTTTTCCGACAGCACCTGTTGGTCATCATCTGCCCCATTTACGGACCTGCTGCTTCTGTTCGTTGACAGGGGCGGGGCAAGGCGGGGGGGCGGGGCGGGGGGATCAACATCAGCTTCCAGATGTTGATGCTCCATGCTCTCGGCGTCGTCGGGGTTCACTGCCTGCCCGACACGGTGGAACATTTTGCGCAACAGGCGTGCGCGATAAGCTGCGGAGGAGAAAACAACAACAACAAACAACAAACAATCCCATGTGGACTCACGCACCAGCAGCTTTCACCAAAACACATCTGGGCGTCTCACTTTCTCCTTTGTAATCAGCGCAGTGTTTAGACCATGAGGGGCCTCCGTATGGAGCCGTTTAGTTTGTCAGATTCAGTTTGACAGGGTTTACGTTTCGCTGTGATGGTTTTGGGAGGTAAACAAGCTCCAAATAAAATTTTTTTTTTGAAAAAGACCAAAAATAAAACAAATTGATGGGAAGGAATCTGGAGAGCTTAAAATATGACAAAGACAGTGACATCTGAAAGAGATATGGAGCCTTTTTAGAGGCAGCCATACCCACTTCACTGGAATCCACAACCACACCCTGTGTTTAACTGCGATTGAGCGACTTTCCAGATTCCCCTAATTAGGCAAAAACAACCAAGAGTTGAGCCCTAATTTACACCAAACATCCACTCAAGACAAACAGATCCAGTTTACACGCAGGATTATGCGTATAAACTGCACATCACCCTGAACACAGGATCTCCATGAGGAGACATGGCAGTGGCGACATCATGCTGTGGGAGTGGCTTTCTTTGAATGGAGCCAAGTGATATTAAGGGAACTGGTTGTAGGCTACAACATCGGTCAGCCGCGGTGTGTCTGTGTGTTCAGGTTCCAGTCAGATGTCCCACCTCATGACGAGGCCCAACCGGCAGGGCGACAGCAGCGACCTGAGAGGTGAGGCCGCTTCCCCGCACCACAGCCCCTTCCTGAGGCCGCGCTGCGAAAACACAAACCGTCACCAAGTATTTCTGGCCTCGTTTCTAGAGCAAGTATCTCAGTCCGTCTGAAGTGGGACGAAACTGATTTACAAGCATCTTTTCAGCGAGAAGTAGGAGCTTGTTTGGAATCAATAATTCCTCGATATTCATTGAACTAAACACTAGTTCCACCGGCAGATTATTTCACGGAGAAAATGTCTTGTTAAAAGTGAAAACAAATCTGCCTGTTGAAAAATAGCATGTTTTTTTAAAACCAATATTGAGGAATTACTTATATAACGCAAACTTGTAAGTTTGTTTTTTTTCTTATTGCCAACTAGACAAAAAAAAGAAAAAAAAAACTTGGTAACATTTTGTGTTTTTGTAGGAGTTTTTTGTTTGTTTTTTAGATGTTAACCCCTAACAATTCTTATTTTGATGAATGTTGTGATTATTTGTGCATAACTCAGTGTGTCTCTTGCTGGTTTAGATTCAGCCTGGCCACACGGAGCCCGGGGCTTTCAGGAGCTGAAGGCCGAGGTGACCGAGGTGCCCGCGCCGGACGCCAACGTCCACAGCGCAGGTGTTTATTCTTGAGCCTGGAATTAGCCGAACATATGGGACGTTCTGCGCCAGGCGCATTTTCTGAGAGAATGTCACACACAATAAGACGCCAACGTGTCCATAAAAAGACATAAAAAGAAGCAGAGATGTAAAGACGAGCCCCGTGTCGTCCTCCTCCATTGGTGCGGACCGGGCAAACATGACACTCACCCCTCCTGCTGACAGCCTCAAAGTAAATACGACTATTAATACCGAGGCATTCAGGGTCAGAATACCGACGTCATGCCAAACCGTCGGTATGAGGCGCCCTCTGAGGTTCGTGTTTGCCCCATAAACGAAGAGGGAAAGCACCTTTAACAAGGCTGTCGTTTAATGCAGCTGTTAAACGTTTCCTCGGGTGGGCTTTTCCCCAAACCACCCCCTGCCTTCTAAAGGGGAACGCAAAGAGTCGACGCGGCGCGTCTTCCCGTCTCACTTGAGGCCAGAGCGCTCTGAGGCAACATAGTAATGGGTGTATTTATAAGACATGTTTGCCATCCAATCTTAAATCTGGGGCTACATCCGGAACCCGAGAGGAAGGCGGTATTTTAGGAAGAGACAAATATAAAGCCAACCTTATCGTTTTCTCTGAAACCCTGGATGAGTTGCGTCACGCAGCCTCTCCTCTGAACGCAGTGACTCAGAGAAAACCAAGCGGTTGCGTTGCCTCTTTGACGCAAGCTTGTTGGGAGGACGAAACCCGTGTATTGGTTTAAAAACCACGCCCATCCATCCAATGACCTTCAAAGCCTTGCAGAGTGAACTTCTCAAAGCTTTGACGTGATTTAAAACTCGTCTTTCATCACAAAAGAAAGACGAGACAATCTAGTTGACTTGTGACAACTAGATTGAGTCTCTTCGTCGACCCCGTCTCCCACGTCTCCCACGTCTCGTCTTCCTTGCCCCTGCAGGATGCGGGGAGCTGATTTCCGTGGGCGAGCCGGTCACCCACAGGAAGGCCAACACCATCGCAGGTAAATACGGTGTCTGGATGCAGGACCCTGAGGCCGTTTCCCCCTATGGAGCCAGCATGCTGTGGCGCATCGACACCATTGGCACCGAGGTCAGGCAGCTGTATGGGTATGATGACATGGAGCAGCTCTCCAAAGGCTTCCCTTCCAAGGTAGGTGTAGCAGGGCCTTGCAAAGGTATTCATGCTCCTGCCACAAACTAGGAGTGCACACTTATGAAAGGGAAGGAAAATTACGCTTTGCTGTGACAGGTCCTGCTGCTGCCAGACCCGATGGAAAGCACCGGGGCCACAATATACCGAGGGTCCCTGTACTACCAGAGACGGCTGAGTCGCACCCTGATCCGCTATGACCTGGCCTCTGAGAACGTGGCGGCCCGTCGTGAACTCCCCCACGCCGGCTTCCACGGCCAGTTCCCCTACTCCTGGGGCGGCTACACGGACATCGACCTGTCTGTGGACGAGAAGGGGCTGTGGGCCGTGTACTCCACCAGCAAGGCCCAAGGAGCCATTGTGATCTCCAAGCTGGACCCGCACAGCCTGGAGGTGAAGAGGAGCTGGGAGACGAGCGTCAGGAAGGCGTCAGTGGCCAACACCTTCATGATCTGCGGGAAGCTTTACACCGTGGCCAGCTACGCCGCCCGCGACACCACCGTCAACCACGTGTACGACACGGCGAGCGGCCAGCTGAAGGCCCTGTCCATTCCCTTCAAGAACAAGTACGGCTACAACAGCATGATCGACTACAGCTTGGCCCAGAGGAAGCTGTTTGCCTGGGACAATTTCCACCTGGTGTCCTACGACCTCAGGCTGGGTCGCCAGCAGGCCGACTGAGGTCAGCGTCAATGACTGTTTGCTTGCCTGTTCCTGCTTCAGAGACTCACAGTTTTAGACCATAACATGAGCAGCAGTTACAAAGATACGGAAAAGCAAGGAGCTCACAGTTAGTCAGTTTCCACCCAATATGTGTAAGAAATGGTGAAAAAAAAAAATCCTTGTTTAATTAGTCAGGATGATTTAAAATAGAATAAAAATAGTTTTCTGACCTGATGTTTGGTAACTCTATAGAGGTGTTCTCCATCAAACCAATATTTTACAGCATCCTGACTTAATCCACAGATTTTGTGCATAATCTCTTACAGTGAGTCAGACAAATTGTGGCCCTTTTGTCTCTCCATAGAAGCTAACGCCAAACCTGCTGCAGGAAAACTACCAAACTCCATAAACACTGGAGGCACGGTGCCTCCCGCATTGTTTTTCTTTATTCCCGTTCCTGATGTTGCCGTGGCGTGGTCCACAATGCTGTTTTCAGAGGAATTATTTTTGTACCGCCTTTAATCCGTGTATGTGATTTTGTTGTTTCCCGTGTAAAGCTATACAGTTGTGAATTAAATAAATCAGTTTAACCGAAAACATGAGACGCATTTGATTCGGTGATGCTATGATGCCAACTCCTGCGGTTTAACATTCCCTGCAGTGACTCAATCAGCCAACATCCCTCTATAAAGCTGCTCCAATAAAGCATGTATTGAATACTGCATGTTTTTTTTGTTTGTTTTTTTTTGCACAGTGTAGCCAACATGTGTCCAAAATCCTCATTAAATAAAGTTTATAAATGACAGCCCTGTTTATTATTTCACTTTCACACAAAAAAAGTGCATAGATGGATGAATCAAAGATTAGAAACAATTTCATCCAGCAGGTTTTAACAAGATGAACTTAAAAGATGCACCACTTTCTTATAGCTGATGGAATAACCAAGCGGGCGCAATGCAGTCAAGTTACTTCATTTCTGTGAGACAAAATGTAATATTTGGGTCTAGTTTGGTTGATCAGAACCAGGCCTTGAAGGTTCTCATTGTTGAGTGTGCCTTGCAGCTGTGGTCAACTTGTTCACTGCAGATCAGTGGAGAGTTGCCACTGCGGCAGCTCTCGAAAGCGATACCAAGTCATCAGTGCACACACTGGCAGTGGAAAAGCTCCTTAAAGGTCTGACGTACTTCATGCGAGGTGCCAAACCTGGAGCCAATTCCCACCTTTTCAGGGGGGCTGAATCGTAATAAGCAGTACGATTATAATAAAAATATTAAGGAATGATGGTAGGAAGGAAGGAAAGAAGTTTTCAATATATAGAAAGTGAAGAAATGCAAATATCATTCCCTCCACTTATGTTTTAAGATACGTATCCAAACTTTTGAGGAAAAACCCCCCAAAAACAAACAAACAAAAAACAGGAATCATGTTATCACATCCCAAGCCTGCATAAATATTAACAGTTTTCACTCTTAGTCCCTGCTCGTCACTACACGCCGCATGGTGACATAAAGGCACTCTACTGACACCTTGTGGTCAAATGTGGCACATCTAACAAAAAGAACATAAACACAAATCTCAACAGTATATTATTTTTATTAGTTTCTGTAACCAAACCAAGAGAATGTAAATAAGACCGTACATATCTTGATACAGTGATGAAACCCCTGTACAACAAAAAGAAAAAAAACAAAAAAAGAAGTCATTACCTTCCCTCCCTTTTCTATTCTCCAAATAAAGGAGTCTCCCCCCAGCTGGGGCAGATGTGAAGGGAGTCCCCTCGCCATCTCAGGGTGCATACTACTATACATTTCTGAAGGACCGCCTTGTATCTGCAAGCCCCCCGAATCAGAGCGCTGCTGCGGGTTGGACAGCCGGCGGGACCGAGGCAGAAAAAGGAAAACGGCGCCGCTTGCTCTCATCAGTAGAGACAAAACGAAACAGCAAGTGTCCTCCTGCACCACCGCTTTAGTACTTGTGGCTTTGCAATTCATCTTTTCTCCTTGTTCATCGTCCTGCTCCTTCTCGTTATGAAGGTCAACATGCACGCTCAAAAAAAAAATTATAAAATAAAAATTAAAAAAAGTTAACTCTCTGCCTCACTTCCTCTAAACAGCCCTGTCCTGCTAAAACACTAGCTAAGGGCACTGAAATCAGTCATTAGAAGCAGCTCTGGATGCTTTTTTTTCTGTTTTTTTTTTACAGTGAGGTGTGTGTATACGAGTATTCGTGTGACCACACTGGGATGGGTGTGAAAGCAGTGCAAGGTTGTGTGTGGAGGACTGCTCCGACAACGAAGCAGCAGAAAATTAAACGATCCTAGTCACCGACTCCATCCTGCATGCAAACTGCTGCAGCGGGAACGAGCGACCCCGCAGGGTTCTGATGTCACCTCTGCGCCGTTTTAACCTTTGGCTAAAAGAAAACACGCGAAAGTCCGACGCCATGCTTTTCCCCTCCCCCCCTTTGAACGCACGCACACACACACACACACACACACACACACACACACACACACACACACGCACGCGACCCTCAAAACACGAGCACTTCTCACATCAGGAGACGAGAGCAGAAGGCAGGAGCAGAAGGCTCACAAATCAAGAAATCGATCATTACAGTCAATCAAATGCTGCAGATTTTCACATTTCCATTCTGATGAAACAAAACGACAACAAAAAGAATCATTATTTCTGATTTCATGTCTTCCTGCGGCAACACGTTCCAACCGTTCAGCACTAAATTTCCTGGATTAGTTATGACAGGTCAAACAAGAAGGTGTGCTTCAATAAATGATATCTTAAGAAAACAAATTTGATTTATTTATTCTTTTGTAAACAAAAACATGTTTCTCCAATAATATGTCTCAAGCTATTAGGTGTGTTGGGGGGCAAAAAAAAGAACTAAAATTAGCTATAAAAAATGTCTAACTCAGCAGCAATTCTCAGATTTCTCTCTAGCTCTCAGTCAGGTGGTGGATTTCTATGGAACAACTCGAGCAGCAATTTTATCAGCATCTAAGTGTGATGAAAGTCACCCCACCTGCAGCAAGGCGAGGCGGGGCGAGAGAGGAAGAGGATTACACTTGTATACGACAGTCCTTCCTGTTCGTGACGCCAACCGGCTCGTCGTCCTCCCCCACGCCGTCCTCCAGGGCTGATATGAGGATGTGATTGCGGAAATGGTGGGCGGCGGGGGGTCGAGTCTCTCTTCCATCGAGATGTTCAGTTGTCTCTATTTGCCCTCTTCTGGTTTGATGGCTTGCGGTTTAATGGGGCCAGTTCGGATGGGCTTGGCCGTGGAGATGGGGGGTTTGTCCGCGTCTGGCCGTTCGCCGCCGGCCTGGTGGTTTGAGGCCGCAGGGTCGAGCGGAGCCTTTCCTCCCTGATCGAGTCGAGGCTTGCTGACCGCAGGCGCCTTCAGTTGCTGCTGCTGCTGCTCGGAGAAGAACTTATGAGTGGACTGCAGAACCTCGGCTCGCTGCTTTGCCTTCAGAGGAAACGAGGAAATTAATCAACCAATCGGGACAGAGCGTCGCTTAAAAAAAAAACAAAAAAAAAAACACCAGCAGCGCCTCACCTTGAGGTCCTGCTCGGCCTTCAGAGCCGCCTGTGTGCCTCTCGGTGGAAGAGAAGAACCGGGAGGCCCTCGGGGAGGGTGCTGCAGGTGCTGAGGCCGCGGGTGGGGCATGAGGCCTCCGCCCATGTTGGGTGAAATGGGGGTACCCACATGAGAGCGCGGGATGCCTCCGCCGAAGGAGTTCGCGTGAGGAGGGCGAACCAGAGGAGACACGATGCTGGGCTGAGACAGAATCTAAAAGAGGAAAAAAAAAAAAAACAAAACACGCCAACGTTTATGTCTCAGCGGGTGAAGAGCACTGCCAGTCAGCTGGCTGAAAGAAGGCGATCAGATATTTCCCTTTTTGGACTTTTTTCTGACAGAAAACTCTCAAGGAATCATGGGACAAATCACAAATTATGTTTTGAATGTAAAGTTTGCAGGTTATCAGGCTTCGCCGTTTTACTTCTTGCTACGCTACAAAGAGCAGAAAAACTAAGACGGATAATATTCTGCTCAATCAATTGAATTTACAATTACGCACACAATTACGCAGGTGTTTATTTTAGATTTCTAGTCAATTTAATGGTTATCAACTGTCTGTACTACACACTAAATTATAAGATGTTAAAGTTCTCAGACATATAGTGGGGGAAATATACCAGAAAAAAGTGGGCCAATGACTATTTTTTACATTTCTTATTTTTCAACTGGCCCATGCATAAAAACTCACAAACATGCCGATCCATATTATTCAATGCGTCACCTGTGGGTTGAACTGGCCGGGGAAATGCTGAGTCATTCTCATGCCTGCGGAGCTGGGCGGGAACTGCTTCTGGTACAGCATGCTGTTCATCTTACTGGACTGGCTACTGGGAGAAGTGGAGCTGGCCCTGCAGCGCGCAGACAGGAAACCATTACAGTGACACAAAGAGCAAAACAAAGGCAGAGAAAAGGCTTTCATTGGCTAAAGACACGTGTGAGGGTTCTGTTGCTCAGGAACTGATTTTATTTTCATTCTCTTTACATGTAAAAGACCCATTACAATACAAATAAATTGAATTTATTTGAATCCTTAAAAAACAAAGCATCTGAAATGATAAGCAAGAAACTGCATCATGTGATGCCTCCAGCTTCTTCATGTCAGAGTTTTGGCAGATTGAGCCGTCCCATGAACACACAATTCGGATTAAAAATGAGCCCAGAGGGACCACAGCTGTGTTATAAAGGACCTTCATTTTGAAAGGCAATTCATAAAAGCAAGAGTCCAAGGGAGGAGTGACAGAAAAACGCAGATGATTACCTGTAAGGACTGGAGGTGGGCGTGGTGCTCCGGCCACCGACCGGAGGAGTTCCAGGCTTCACGTCCATCCCGCTGCCGAACAGTTTGAGATCCATGTCCATCTGCACACAGAAAAAAAACAGAAACTCATCAACCTGATGCCCAAACTTGGGTACTTGCAGGTTTCACCAACTCAAATGTAGGATTTCATTTTAAGACCATTTAGAATCGAATTTAAGACCCGTATCACAGGTGTACAAAAAATGTGGCAAAGAAAAATCGCATTAAATAAATCTTTTGGGTTGGTAACAGAAGTGACTCAACAACTACGGCAGACATCATCCAGCCAACTGGTGATAATTTTGAACTTAAGAAAAAAAAAGATATCCAGCTAGCTGCTAAAGATGTCTTAGCAGCTGGTTAGCAGTAGCTGCAATTGCATGAAATAAAAAATATAAAATATGAGATGACATAGTTCTGCTCCCCCTACATTAAAGACCTGTGATTAGCGTATTTAAGGCCAATTTGTTGTTTTCAATGCCTTTAAGACGGTTTAATGTGGTGCAGTCACTGCAGGGTGAGACCCATATGAAGCACCTTGCTGGTCGGCGGCTGCATCATGTTATGGTTGGGACCCATGATGCCTCGGTAGGGCTGAGAAACGGGGGGCTGCCGGTTGATGTTGGGGGGCTGAGGTTGGGAAGGAGTGGGGGGCAGAGCCAGCAGGGGCTGACCTCCCCCCGACCCAAAGTTAGGCAAAGACAACTGGGAGCCCGGCAGAGGGACGGTCACCTGCAGATAGAGGGGAATTAACGACCTGAAAAGAAACCGAGCAGCTTATTTGACACCAACAGATCAGTTTATGGCCGCATTACCTGCTGCATG